GGTAACATATATCAATTTAATCTCTTTTACATAAATATTTTTTCTTTGTTAAATTTATTTTTTACATTAACTTTTATTTTAATTATAATACTATTTTAACATGCTATAACTAAGTATTCTTAATTTTATGTGGACTTCTTTCAAAAGCTTATACCATCATTTGTTTTTTTAGTTAATTCTTTTATGGTTATTTTCTAAAATATTAGTCTAAATATCAAGCTAGGTTTTCTTTATAGAAATATTTTCTTTGATAATTTACCTCTCTTGATATTAATTTCTATTTTTATTTTAACACATAATTGTTTTGAAAATATTGATATTTTTGAAGAAATAACTTTATTTTTCATTTTTTTGTTAGTTAAATATTTTGGTATTGATTTTTAAGTAGTTAGTCAGATATTAAGTCAATTTATTTTTAGATGATTTTTTAAAAACATTTAACATTTTGTAAAAGTTTATTTTTATTCTCTATTTCTTTGTTAACTAATTTCTTAATATTAATTTATTTAATAATTAGCTTAAATACTTTTTTTTTTCAAATCAATTATATTACTATCAAAAGTTTACAAAGAAACATAATCAATACAAACAACCATTATACACAAATATAGGAAATTGAAAACAATTTCGATGAAGAAGTCGAATATAACCTAGCTATCATTACAAAAGGCTTACAGGCTAATAGAAAATTTCTGTTATGTCCCCTCTTCATATACTTTTTGTTGGTTATCGGTTTGCTGCCGAAACTCCAAAATGCCCATGGCATTACTTTAGTTAGTAAATATAAATTTAATGTTGTTAAAAATAATTCTGAATCTTGTTGCTTCCTCAAAACTAATATACTTGATATTCCTGGTAGAAACCCTCCACAATTACATGTTGTTGCTTCCTTTGTAAGACAAGATTTCCATGTGAACAGATAATGATATCTGTTATATGCTTGATCTATCATTATTGTTCGCGGACTGAAAAGAACATCTTCCTTGGCTATTGTCTTTGTGATTAAAAGCCATTTTTGTTGAAGATGAAAGATCCAAAATCCCTCGCACCAAGAGATTACATGTATTTTGGTTGTAAAGAAGTCGCATAATCTTAATTTTCTTCTCGTTTGAGACAAAGTTGTCTCTTGCTCTGAATCACTAAATTTCTGTAGATCCATACATCGGCTATCTTCTACTTCTCTGATTCGGATACATCATTGCCATTGTGGCTTTAGAATCCATAGTTGTGGCCATTCTAAATATTTCCAAAACCAAAAGAAAACAGAAAATACGGAGTCTAGAGAAGTGAAGCCTTGAGACAACACCAACACCGTAATGATCGAGACAACTATGAGTTTTTGAAGTCGGTGTTTGTTCACATCGGTGTCTTTCAAATTCAAAACCAATCTGAATTTAAATTTCTGATTTTTCAGAAATACATCATCTATATCGATTAGCAATTCGCCAGGATCCCAAATTTGAGCGGTTACAACAAAGAACCGAAGTAAGCCGTATAGAAAGGATCTTAACGGAGGGAAGCCGACACAGATTAGTTTGGATAATGGCCGGGATATGGTCGGAGAATCGCTCTCTCGAAGAAAGAGAAGAAAACAGAGGCTTTGAAGATGGATCACCATGGAAACCTCCTTAGTAATCGATATTGCAGACAATTATTAGAAGCAGTAGAAACGTAAGGAACTTGAACAAAAGAAAAAAAGAGTGCAGCCGACGCCGGAGCCGACGTCGGCCAGAGATTGTGGTAGAAAACGGTTGTTTTTTATGCGTTTCTCTTCGTCGATCGAAAATCGCACTCAGAGCAAAACGGTTTGACTTGCTCAACTACAAAGCTGCTTAATTAGCTTAAATACTTATCTTGTTTTTGTTAGTAAAGATTTTTAGTATTACTTAAGTTTTTTGATTTTTTTACTTATTTTGTTTATATTGATTTTGTTAAATAAAAATTACATAGATATCAAATTAATATCTTCTTTTTGTTAATTTAACTTTTTTGATATCGATTTTTATTTTAATTGTATTGACATGTTGCAAAAAATAATTTACCTTAGGTTTTTTGTTAGTTAAACTTTTTTGGTTAGTTCAGCTTTTTGTGTTGATTTTCTAAATAATTAACTAAATATCAAGTTTTAGATGACTTTTTCTTTTGTTAATTTAATATGAATTTGTTTTGGTAGTATTGATAGTTTTAAATAACAATTTAATTTGTTTATATAAATAATTTAATCTTAATATTTTTTTAAATAAATTACTCATTTAAAATATATATGTTAATTTTTTTCTTTATTTAATTAAACCTTTTCGATATTGATTTACATACTTATTTTTGTTAGGTTAGCTTTTTTGACAATAAGTTTCTATTTTATTTTGACAAACATTATAGATTTGGATTTTTGATATAATTTTATTTTATATATTTTGTTAGTTAAACTTTTGTCTCTTAGTTTTCTAATCTACTATGATAACTTTATATGTTTGCATGGTTTAATTTATTTAAATTATTAATTATATTTAACTTTTTATATTTAATGATAAATGATGATGTGGACCAAACAGATTGAGTTTCTACGTCATATGTGGACGCTTTCATTGGCCTAAGAGATTAACACGAACCACAACTAATATAATTAGGTTATTAGTTCAGATTTTAATTGTTTGTCATGATTAAAATTTTGAAATAGTTTAATTATGATCTTAAATATGATTTTTTTATTTATTTTGTTCAATATATATAATTTTCTTTAATAATCTATTTATATGTTAATTTTTTTGTTTGTTATAGATATTCATATGTTAATTTATTTTTTATTGTTAATAAAATAATAAGTTCTACTTTATAAACTCTCTCTTATTAATAACTAACTTAAATTTTTGAAACTTTCCTAATATATAATTTTTATTTTATAATCTATTTATATGTTAATTTATCTTTTTATTGTTAACTAGGTGGTTGGCCCGCACATATATGTGCGGGCATAAGAAATTTAATAAAAATCAATTAATAATAATATATTATTTATATAAATAAATGATTGATCGGTTTAGTAATATGTTTATGAAAAATTTTAATTTGTAAAAGAAACGATTTAATAGATTTAAAAAATTGTATATAGCAAGAAAATAAAGTATACATAAAACTTAAAATACTTTAAAACCCTGTAAAATAAAATAAAATTATTCTTTCTTATTCTTTATTTTTTATTTTTATTCATATTTTACATCTTTTTATAGTTTTTTAATCTCATTCTGTCATATTTCGTCTTATTTCTGATTCATAATTCTCATTATATAATTATAATATATTAACATAAATTATAAACTGTTGTTTTTTATTTATAGCGGGACAAAATAAGATAATAATAAAAGTGAATAAATTCTCCTTCTAAAAAACTGAATCCGTAAATTTCACACAAACACTTGAACTTGTAAATATTTTGCTAAAAACTTATTTAATAATAAGATTCCAAAAGTTTCCATCAAAAACCGATTTCGCAAATTTTCTGCGAAAAACATAAATTGGTAACCTTCGCACCAAAAAATATTATATTAAAAATATGATGCAAAAATATTTTATCAAAATTTCGATTTTGTGAATTTTCCGCGAAAAAGTGAATCCATAAAAAACAATAATGCCAAAAACTTTACATTAAAAATGTGATTCCCAAAACTACCAGTCAAAATTTTGATTTCATGAATTTCCCGCCAAATAAGTGAAACTGTAAATATTCCGCCAAAAACTTACTTAAAAATATAATTTCAAAATCTTCCGTCAAAACCCGATTTCAGAAATTTTCTGCCAAAAACATGAAATTGTAATTTTCCCATCAAAACATTTATATTAGTGTATTTTAATTTGATTTCATGACTTTTTGTCAAGTATTATGAATCCACAAATTTTATGCCAAAATGTGATATCAAAAAACTTCCGCCTAAATGTGTTGCCACAAATTTTCCGCTACATATTTTGAAATCCGTAATTTTTTCTGACAATTTTTTGTGTTGAAATATGATTTCAAATCTATTTGAAAAAATTATAATTTTATTAGTTTTTTTCAAAAAATTGAGTACTTACATTTTTTTATCAAAATTTTAACATGAAATTTTATTTATAGATTAAATAATGCCATGTCACAAGCCATGTGTACTAAAATTGACATGTCACAATTACATCATCATTACACATCATCATTTCCATGTCACATTAAAATTGTCCACACTAAACATATTAACCAATCAAATTAAAACAAATCAGCAGTTTTCATAAAACTACATTCTCAATTAATATGTAGAGGATAGAAAAATAAGATCTATTTTCAAAACTCTTTTTTATTTATAACTAACTTAAAATTTAGAAACTTTCTTAATAACAACAAAAACAAAATTAATTAAAATTTCTAAAATTTAGAAATTTTCCTTATAACAATTAAAATAAATTAATTAATTTTAATATATAATATACAATTAACTAAAAATAATGATAATATGTACCAATAGAATTGAATCTTTAAATCATATGTGGACTCTCTTAAAGGCATTTAGCATCAACTTTTATTAGTAATATATATGATGATTGTAACATGTTAATTTTTTTTCTTATTAATTATTTTCTTACAGAAGACAAATTACCAACAGAGTAAAATATACATTTTCATTCAATTAAAATTGCATTAAAGAAAATGTAAAAACTAAACTTCATACAATATATATAAACGGAAAGACACATTGTATACCTTAAAAAAAGCAACTCCATTAAAATGTTCTCAACAAAGTATAAAACCAATAAAAAATAAAACATATTAATATATAAGAGAGAAGATCTTTTAAATAGTTTAAGAGAGGTTTATTGGGAAATGGATTGTTATAATATTTATAATTTATAATTATTGGTGGATGATTTTCGACATGTTATTAAAATTTAATATTTATTTTGATGATTTTTAAATTCATACAAAATCTATTATATGAAAAGTTTAAATAATAACAATAATTTATAGTTGAGATATTATTTTTAGTATCTAAACAGATAAAGATGCTTTAATATGAATAATCTTACATTAGGTTGTGGGTCTTTTTCTCTTCTCTTCTTCTTCAGGGTACACGCTTGAGGGTTCGCTTGATTCGATGAGTATTTGGTTGTTTGTATCCTTTGAGATTTAGGAATCCCGAACTTTAGATTCCACAATCCCTCTTGTGTTCTTTTTTTGTTTTCGGAATAACCACGTACATAAAATCTGAGAGAGGTCCTCGAGTTATAAAACTTAAAAGGGGTTTAATTAGGGCTTCGATATGGATAGGATCAGTAATCTTCCGGATGATTTGCTCTTGAAGATTCTTTCATCACTTCCTATCAAAGACGTAGTCTCCACGAAGCTTTTGTCGAAACGATGGAGGTTTCTTTGGAAGATGTTTTCAAAACTTGATTTCAACGATGGTTTTGAGACCGAGCCTTCCAAATACGAGAGGTTCATGACGTTTGTGGACAGGTCAATGGTATTGCGTAGTTCCCCGGTTCTAGAAACTTTGAAGCTCGACGTTGGTCCTTGTTGCACCACTGAAGATATGACAAGATGGATCAGAATCGGAATGGTTCAGGATATGCGTGAACTTGAAATTGTCCACTTTGAAGAATCTTTCGAGGAACATAGACCAATCAAATTACCAAACACTCTTTATACTTATGAGAAGCTCGAGGTCTTGAAACTCACCTACTCGATTATCCTTGATGTTCCTATCGCTGTTTGTTTTCCGTCTTTGAAAACATTACACCTTATGTGTGTAGAGTACGAAACCAAAGAATGTTACCGTAGGCTTTTATCGGGCTGTCCTGTTCTTGAGGAGCTGGTGATGGACAAAGCTGTAAACAGCAACTATTTGCGATCTTTCTACGTTGAAATGCCTACCTTACAAAGATTGTATGTAATTCATACATATAGAGAACCAAACTTCCACTATACGACTGTGATCAATGTCCCTTCTTTGAAGTACTTGGAATTTCTAGATTTCTATAGTGAGTTGTGTTTGTGTAAGAATATGCCTGAGGTGGTTGAGGCAAATGTTAAAGTTGTTTACAAAAATCCAGAGAAGCTACTCGGATCTATTCCATCAGTCAAGCGCCTCTACTTATGTTTATCCGCTTACAAGGTAAATAGTAACCAATCCGTGTTTCTTGTGGTTTATTAAAATGTTGTGATTATGTTTTCTTAACATTCTCGATCTATGCAGATTCCGCCCCACGGCATTGAATTTTATCATCTTGTTCATTTAGAGCTATGCGCATATTCCCTAGGGTGGTGGGATCTACTTACTTGGATGCTCACAATTTCTCCTAAACTACAAGTGCTCAAGATCTGTGAGGTATATATATCTTAACCAAACTCTATTTGTTCTTCTTTATTCAACTGTTTCATTGTTTGTAGTTATTAGGTCTAAGTCATAACACATAGTAACTTGCATTATGTCAGTGCAACGAACGCCCTTGTACCATAATGCCCATTAGAGGTCACTGGAGAGGACCAAGTGCAGTTCCTGAATGTTTGATTTTCCATCTACATACTTTCAAGTGGAAAAATTACAAATCAAACGGCAAAGAAAAGAAAATAGTGGCCTACATCCTCAAGAACGCAAGGCAGTTGAAGATTTTGGGTATCTCTGCGTGGCAATACTATTCGAAGAAAGAGCGATCTCAGAAACTAAATGAGTTGTTTTCTCTTCCTAGAGCTTCAAGCTCATGTCAGCTTCTGCTGGATTGAGAAAAGATTCTTGTAGAGGCATTCTGTGTGAAAGCTAGATGTGTTCGAAGCTCTTATAGCTTATTATGTTATTTCTCTAAACTGTGTCGTCCTTAGAATTTCCACGTACAAAGGATGTAAATGACGGAAAGAGGAATGACTTGCAAAGAATGCTGGCTAGTGGCTAGTATTCTAAAAAGGATGTCTCGTTCATCTTCATTACTAGTTTTAAACAATCTGTTGAGAAACAAAGATTTTCTATTGAAACTTATCATCGCCTAAATTAAAACTTCTAGTTTAGAGTATATAGGGAATATGGTTCACATTATTATAAAAATTGTTAAAATTTAAACAGATGTCAAATTATTAATCCAAAATATTTTACTAAAAAGTATTATATGTCGAAACTTTAAGAACATCTCGATCGATTAAAATTCCAAAAAAAATCTATTAATAATAATAATATATTATTTTAATATGAAGTAATTAAATTAAAATTTATTTTCTTTAAAAAGAATCATTTAAGAAAAATTAATGTGTTAGAAGTCTCTATCACTCTAATACATAAAAATAATTTCTTAACAGTTAAATATTATAATTTCTATAAACTAATTAATCTTTAATTTTTTAAAAATATATAAAAGGACAAGTAGCATAAAAGTATGAGATACATCTCTAATAAGTTATTTTTGAGAAGGGTCAATTAACTCAATAACCATATTGGATTTGCTACTTTACTCTTGTAATAAAATAGAAGTGTAGAGAATAATCATAGTTTATTTTGACAAAATACTCTTGTTGATTATTTTGTTTTCTAAAAAGAGAGAGATTGGGAGAAGAGAGAGAGTGTGAGAAAAGCGAATAGAAATTCTGTGTTATTTTATTATTATCTCAATTTTGTATTATCTGTACTATTTGGTCTTTCATCATGTCTATTTTAGCTTGTAAAGTAGTATACATTTGTAAAAAAATATTGTATAAGAAAAATAGTTTTTTTCGTTGTATAACCATATTTACAAAACAATCGAAAAATATTGTTATGCTATTTGAAAAATTAGTAAATTAACCATGGTCCACAATCAGTTATCGAAAATAGTCTTATACTATATTATACTATATACTATACTATATATCAATTTTATGAAATAGTTCTATTTGATATATTATTTACAAAAACATTTCTTATAAAGAGAGGAGGGAAGAGAAGACGGCGAAAGAGGAGGGAAGTGGAGGCGTGGAGAGGGGAAGGGGAGGAGGGGAGATGAGATGAGCGGAGGTGAGCATAGGGGAAGTGAGGGGAAAAATGATGAGAGGAGAAGAGAAGATCGAAGGGGAAAGAAAAAAGAGAAAGGAGTAAAAGACAAAAAGAGGTAATTTTGTATATATTGTAGAATATACAGAGAATATCAAAGTACCTATTTTGTTATGGTTAGTTGATGAATTTAGCTCATTCATATAGTCATATGACCCGATTTCCCTAAGAAGAATGAGAAGAAAAGAAGGAAGAAGAAAAAAGAGAAGAAAAAAATATTATGTATCCAAAACCCCTATTCCATATGATGTTATCCAACCATAATCCGCTATAAATCCATCACAATAAATTCACATATTTTAAAACTAAACTCAAATCACTATTTAGTACTTACTATACTCAAACCTTCGAGCATAAACCTAAATTATTATATATATATATACAATAACCAAATCATTTAAAATTAAATCAAAGTCACCACCAACTATACCCAACCCCTATTTAACTATAACCTAAACCTCTAGCACTCTACCCACCATAAGTTTTACTCTACTATACAGCTTTACTCCGTTATACAACATATAAATTGAAAGAGAGATAATTGTAAAAGATAGAAACCCAATCTATACTACATGAATATTGTCTAAAAATAGCATTTATCTATGGTCAGTCTATAAACTTTTAAAATAGATTCAAATTGAAAAGTCTTACAATTTTATATACACTTCAAATCTGAAATTACAAGTCTTAAAAATAATAACTTACACATTTGAATATAATAGCTTAATACTAAAGTAATTCAACCAAATTTTAGAACTAAAGTCAAACCACTATATAGTATATCCAAATCCTCGTAACTATACCTTTATGCCATAAGATATTACCCCTTGCAAGTCGTAATCCGTTACCAACCCTCAGAATTCAAAGAATTTAAAATAAAATCCAAGCCACAACAAACTTTATCCCAATCCACATTCCTTATCATATTATACTAGTGTTTTGCCCACGCTACGCGTGGATTGTATAGGTATATTGTAGTTTTATAAAAGATTGTCAATTAATTTTGTGATTAATATTGTGATAAATTATAGAGTAGTATATTTGCATGTGATTTTTAGATATAATCGAGCGAAGTAAGTATCAGAAGGATGTATATATATATATATATATATGTGTGTGTGTGAAAAGATGATCGAATTTTTTGTATAATAATTTAAAAGTAGATTAATATACCTTTTGGCTTAGTTAAATTTTTTTTTAAGAGTTAATGCATGTTTTAACAAATATGAAGGGTAAAGTTTGATATTTTTGTATAATAATTTGATTTGTAATTTTGTTATATTTTTTGTTTATGTAAATAGTATCCACATAAACTATATATTATATTAGAAATATATTGTCTAAATTTGGATATCTTATGTTATAATGCTATTTCTTTAGTGAACACCATAAGTATTTTTTATACTTTCAAAAATATTTTGCATAAGCTTCCCTTTCACTTGATGCTTTTAAAAAGAAAAACTCAATCCTTACTCCATTTTTGTTTCATATTGTGTATTAGGATTTTGTTTTTTAATTTTCATATAGTATGCATTTTTCTACTTATCAATTTTTTAAGATTCAGTATGTACATAGATGTTCTATAATTAGTTCATATATTCAACGAAGAAAACAAATGGCAATTAATAACATACTTTTTTTATTATATGAGTTCTTTATTGATTGATATAATATTTGTTTGATAGTTTAGCTAACTCAATCATTTGCCAATATTGGTGAAGAGTGTGGAATTTATTTGAAAAAAAAATCTTTTCAGTTTTATGTGTCATAAAATTTTGCAAATAAAAATTAAGAAACGGTGAGTAACTGTCTTTAATCACCGGTTCTTTAGTTAGGTTTTTACTTCAGTTTTTCTACAATATCGGATTACAACGAACAATATGGAGCTCTATATCAGCTTTAGAAACTTGAGATCCGTTATAAGTCAAAAAATTACAATTGTATAAATTAATTTTCTCTAGACGAAAGAAAACTGAGTTGCTCCTTAAGTTTTACTTTTGGCGAGAAAGACGTTCTCCAGTTCCAACAATACTATGATTCAGACTCATTCGACTTGATTCACATTATAAATATAAATGCAAAACAGTTGTGAGATTGTATTTTTATGTTGCTTACAACAATCTCAAGCATAAGACACATTAGACTTCATTTGTGATAGAGTTGTGTATTATTTATACCATATGTGGCTCATCACTATGTCTTTTTTTTTGACATCCTCATTGCTATGTCTTTTGGATTTTCAAATATTTATGCTCCACTTATTTAAGTTTTATTGTTTATCACCAGTTTGGTTGTTATTAATTAATAAGTAAAATTTGTGTTTAATGACAGCTGATTCCGTTTCTGGTGAGTCAGAGGCGAGATGACTGGAAACCGAAAAGATGATGACTCCATAAAATAAGCTTTTGTTTAAGCTTTATAATTGAGTTTTAGGGTAATTCGTTTTCAGTTTTTTTTTAGCTTTGTTTTTATATTGAGAATTTAAGAATTATAAAAGTTTTTTTTAGGTAAAATTTGAAGAAATTTTGATTAATAAATTATTTAATAAAATGGCTTTAAATTATTGGTTGGAGAAGATGACATAACAGTTTTGAAATCTACCATTGGTTAATTATTTTTGCTGATGTGGTATATTGTCTTATTATTATTGGTTAGTTTTTTGTATAATTTAACGATGTGGCAATTTGTTATATTTTTATTGGCTGATTATTTTTGTCTATGTGACACCCCTTAGAGAGCAGGAAATATATCCCTTTTATATAAAGGAGATTATATTTATGTAATAAAACTAAATCCTAAAAACTATAATTAAACCTAAAATACTAAACCTAAATCCAACTAAGTAATTTATAAATCCTTATAAATCAGTTTTAGTGTTTGGGTATTTTTGATATGTAGTCTAGAATATTCAATACTATGTACTTTATATAGTATTGTTGTACTTTACATATGATTGGCATAGATCTTGAATCACTCATGTGATTAGTGTGTGTTGATGCTATTTAGAAAAAAATTATTTATGAAATCTACAAATTGTTTTTTTTTTTTAATTTGTTTTAAGTCTAAGGTAAACTGCAGTCTAATTAATAAATTTAACTAAACCATCATGTCATGGATCATATAGATTACATAATATAGTGACAAAACATAAAAAATAGTCTAAGATTATATTGCCTCAGCTCTTTGATTGACAAATGACATCATTTCCACTCAACTTCTGGCCAGCATTCGCTCATTTCTGCTCTAATTTATACAAGCACACAAATTTTTCTCTAATAATAATCGCCTGCAAAACCCAGAACAAATAGATTTTAAAGCAACACAATGTATATTGTCGTAATTAAAACTGTGAAAAAATAGTATAAATCTATATTGCTTCAGTTCCATGATTATATCAGAGAAAAATTTGTGGGCTTATATAAGTTAGAGCAGAAATGAGCGAATGCTGGCCAGAAGTTGAATGGCAATGATGTCATTTGTCAATCAAAGAGCTGAGGCAATGAGGCAATATAATGTTAGACTATTTTTCATGTTTTGTCACTATATTATGTAATATATGTGATCAATGACATGATGGTTTAGTTAAATTTGTTAATTAGACTGTAATTTACCTTATACCATATTTGTTGACAAATAAATAGCAAAACCCCCCCAAATAAATTCAAGACTCAAAAAATTAACAAGCATAAGAGGTAAGCAATCTACTAAT